CTTGTGGGAATTCTGTATGTTCTCTTGAACATTTTGAGAAGACGGTGATAACGTATTTTAAGGCATCTTCTCCAAGAAATGCCTTTATTGCTTTAATTACAGCCTTTTGTTCATCAGTGAGTCTTATAGCCTCTGTAAATTAACAAAATTTAAATATTATACACAGTACACAACACGCTTTATATCTCCTGCTTACCGAACAAAAATAATATGGCCTTGATCCCATAAGGACACTTTTGTATGGTACGCGTAATTTCGTCTAGTATCTCTTCTTCTGACCTTTCAGTATCAAAAATCCCTGGAGTATCCACCACATTGTACAATTCGTTACCAATTTTGGCGAGTGCTGAAGCAGATGTGATTGTTCCAGATTCCTAGAGTTGTCAAAAAGATCAATTACTGTAATACTTCTAAAGCAAAAATAATAAAGAATAAAATTGAAATGATTTGTATGCTTACAAAATTATTTGAAACATTAAAGATAGGGGTTCCCAACAGATAATTTCCCAATGTACTCTTTCCAGCACCTTATAAACAAATAAATGTTTATAATAAAGTTAAACTAGCAAGAAAAAACATGTTATAATTTCGTACCTGTTTTTCCGACTAAGAGTATAGCCGGCACATCCAATGTAATATTATTCGACGATAGCTTGTAAATTTGATTTAATCGTAAGTCAAAGGAGTCAAGAGATGGCGCTTGATTTAATAATAAAATTAAAAAAGAAATCTTAATAACTTTCATGTTTGTAGAATAGTTATCGTTATAAGACAGTTGGTATTAAAGTGTGAATTCACATTTAAACTATATATACTTATATATAAACTCATTATCGGCTTATTATGCATGTGATCATGGGAATTATTTATGTAGTTTCGCGAACCTGGTTTGGAGTTTGCTATTTTTGTTCTTACCGATTAGCTAAGATCATCATTCATTTTTAGCCAAAAAAGGATTGAATGTATATAGCTCGGATTTATAGTTGTGCTTCTATAAAAGCATATGCAAAATATAAGTAGTTTCTCGTAGATTATATTATAACTAGGTTGGGGCACAGGGTTAGATGACCAAAAGGTATGGGGAAAGTCTCCATTCATGTGATTTTGCACCTACTGATCATGAATTTCCATGGCGATGACTGATAATTCTCTTTACAATATATATATATATATAATAAAAATTTTAATTCTCTGCCAATTTTTCAAATAGTTACGTATGCTTTTCTTTTTTCTATTATCAAGTGTAGGGATCGCATATTTACATAAAAATAATAAATTTTATCTTATATTATGACGGTACTTGCATGTTTTTTTTTTATAAAATCTTTTTTTAAAATGATTATGCCAAAATTTAATGATAAGTTTATAGCTTTGGAAGTCTTAGAAGAAGCCGCTCAGGCTGCTGCTAAGGCCCAATGTTTTTGCCTTTTCAAAATGTAGTAGTAACTTAGAAGGTAATAATAGCAAATCTCTACATATTATTTTGCAATTTATAAAAGGTGGTAATTAGTGTAATAATTGAGACATAACACCCGAATCATGTAGAAAAAAGTTAAAACCATATGATGTTGTTTCCCATATCAAAGTAAAATCTGGACAAGGCTGTTTGAAATAAGTATGTTACATTTTTAAAAAGCCTTTGAGAAAAAGTACAGTTCATATTTGTAAGATAATATAATTTTCAATATTACTATTTGATTTATCTTAACCACTGAACCATAAGCTTAACTCGGTTATAATAAACATTAATATAATTAACTCAATAAGGTAAGAGCATCTCTAGTTATAAGCAAATTAGAAAGAAATCCATAAAATCATTCGATTAGAGCGAAGGTCAATATAATAAGTTATAGAATCAAATAATTGTATACATTATATGTTAACTTGATAAATATCTTATTAAAAAAATTATGTTCAAGATCTAAGATGAATAGGATGAATTAATAATCACCAAAAACATTCATATATGAATCCTAAAAGAATTTTGTTAAGAACGTGCATCGTAAGAGATGCCTGCTTCAAAAGACAATAGATGAAGCATGAAATAATTAATATGAGAGACTAGTATAAATAATGAAAAATTTTATTAATTTTTTCATTCAAAAACAGTACAAATGTTAAGCTTATTAACTCTTTAGTTCAGAAACATTAATAATAAGAGTAGTCTACTCCAAAATAACAGAGAATGCCGGCATTAATAGATTAGGTGACAAGACATATTAAATCCTAATAAAAAAGAAAGATATGTGCAAATTTCTATAGTTATGAGCCTTATAAAGGGTTTTCGTCAAGTCTACACTAATACTGAACTAGAAAAACAAGTCATAAAGCCACTATAAAAAAAAGAAATATAAAAAAAAAAGGAAAAAAAAAACAGAAGCTGTAAATTCGTACTTCACTGAGTTACCACCCAGTTTAAAAATAAGTTAATAGAAATGACGGATGAAACGTTTAAACATGTTTTTTGTCTAATTAAATCTCATTGCTGAAAGAAAAGAAACATATCAAAAAAAAAAAATAATAATAATAAAAAAATACAGAAACAAAAATTAATACTAATCTCGTACCTCACTAAGTTACGTATCTGGATCTAAAAATGTGTCAATAGAAATGGCAGATGAAAACGTTTGAACATGGTTTTCGCTCAATTCAACTTCATTGCTGAAAGAAAAGAAGCAGATGCCTATCAATCGCAAGATAAATAACTGCAGAAACAACAACAGCTCGACAGATGAGTACCTTTCCAAATTATATAATTCAGTCTCAAATAATGAATCGCCAGAAGCAACAGATGAAAGTGTTGAAGCATGGCTTTCGCATAAATCAACTTCATTACTAGAGTGAAAGACAAAACATAACACAAACAAATTAACTTCAAAAATAATGATAAATGGCACTTTGAATTATATAATTCGGACCTAGAAAACAAGTCACCATAAGCGATAGATGAAGAAACCATATCCGAAGAAAAGGTCATAGTCACAGTAGGAGGTTCTGGTGGGATAAGACCATTTGCATAAATAAAGTTTATAAGTTGAGCCTCACGGTTCACAAGTTGAGCTTCATACTCTGCAAGTCGAGCCTCATGCTCTGCAAGTAGAGCTTCATGCGCCCGGAGCTCAGAAACTCTAGGACGATTTCTACGGCGCCTCTCTTTATGTTTTTGATAATCTCTACGATTGGACTCACGCTTGCGGGCACGGCGGAGAATTTCAGGATTTGGGGCTACAGGAAAAACATCTGAAGGAATAGAATTTGAAGAGTTGACATTATCGGACATGTCGAAAAGAGAGATACAGAGTTTAAACTCTAAACACTTTAAAACAAAGGCAAAGGCTGGCTTATATACTAGACGAATACAATTTTAAGACAAAACTTTCAAGGCGACCTGTATTTAGGATGCATATAATAACTGAATTCAGGATACATGTATAACTAGATTAAGAAGCATAAGTTACACTAAACAAGAAAGGGAACAGAGTTGAGATCTATAAGACAAAGTACGCAAATGCTTAATTTATTATTTTAAAATAATAAATAATATAGTTATTAAATAATGTAGATGTTGATGAAAAAAAAAATTCTCCATAATCTATAAAAAAAAAACTCCATAGTCTATAAAAAAAACCACTATCACCAAAAAATTTACAAATGAAATTGATGTCCGATGTACCCATTCCGAGCCAAGGTCGGACTTAACAAGTGTTAATGACTGAGTAATAACAAATGGTCTTCAGATTGAGCTTTAATTCGAACTGTATCGGACTTTGGTAGTCACGTGATAGAATGTTCATAGTGAACGTTTAGTTAGAAGATTCGGCTAGAAAAAAAAATAGTAAAATAACGTTTAGGAGAATTCAAAGAAAGAAAAGAACGAGAATGAAAGAGGAAAAAGAGGACAACCAGGAGGGATTAGCCCATTACTTTTTATAAAGATTTCGAGTTGTTCAATACGAGCACGTAGGAAAATATGACGCGCCAAAATTTCAGTCTTAGAACAACGGTGGCGTCTTCTGTTCCGCCCGTTCCACATACGGCAGGAACAAGAACAATAATTGACAGAGCGTCTCGAGACTGAAGAATTTCTCATACTTTATACAAAGCGCGGAATTAAAGGAACTAAGAGAATAGAGAATTTACAGCCTTTTTATACAGTAGCTAATTTGCGTATTCCGTATTCCGCATTCTCTCCTTTTGAGCTATTCCTTAAATGGTGATCTGAATTCAGCAATATGCATAAAATCGATTTGCAATAAAATAAATCAAAAAACCGAAACGTACATACGTTACGCATGCATACGTATATGGCATATTGCAGTCCTCTATTATAGCGATAGTATATTTAAAACCGGATGTTTATTATCCATTAACATTACGTAATAATAATCGCTATTTTACATCACAGCCGTATTACAGTACAAGTTTTTGATATCCGGAATGTGCTATTGTAAAATATCCAGTATTTCGAAACTATTTATGTCGAAATTATTTAAGTGTCAAAAGAATATGTATGTGTTTTCTTTGTAGTGGTAGGAAAAATCAATGATTTTTTGAATATATGAGTGACGCAAGGAAATGGGCATTGGTTTATCATTATTATTTAAATAATAAACGATAAACAAATGTCCCATTTTCCTTGGCGTCATTCATATATAATACAAAATAAATGTGGTTCTTATGTGCATTTAGAGAACAGTAGAAAAAATTGCATTTATGCAGTTGAAATATATTCAGGCCAGAACCTGATGTTGCATTTTAAAAGGTTGCATTTAGGAGGCCTGACTGTACATGGTAAAATACCCTTCAGTATTCTGTATGTATTAATTCAGAATAACTAATATTGTAAGTTATCGGTTTATCAGTTATTTAGGTACTGTACGTACAGGTGTATTTATGCGTAATAGCGGGTCGGGCGTTAATTTGAAATTGCCTTTTCAAAAAATTAGTTAAATTACTCAAAATATCGTCCCGAAATAACGCGCACCCACCTATATTACTTAATTAGCTGCCCGATACGAAAGTATCTGAACAGCATTTGTTTCGAATCGATCACGGGTGAATATTAATTGATCGGTCGATACATTGTCGTGATTTTGTGATGTAATGACGTAGTATCTGCGTTAGGTAGTAATCGTTAGTATTTAAGTGGAACAGGTTATTTCTCAGATAAAGTAATTTGTTTTTTTCCTGCTAACTTGACTTGGTCGGTTTTTTCGTCCCACCCTAGCAATCTATTTGGCAGTCTGCCAAGAAGTTATGTTTTGATGACCTGTCGGGACGATAATTATTGCTATTTGTCTTGGAGAAATTGTCTGACGGTCATAATTTGGGTTTTTGAAGTATTTTTATTGACCCACCCTAAAAGTCGTTTTTAACGATCAAATAACTTAAAAGTACATATATCGAAGCATATATAAATTTAATAGTAATATTATATGAGAATGACATTATGAGATACGTATCATCAATCTTGTGATCGGTGAATCTGTAATAACTTATAAGTACGTATATCGAAGCATATATAAATTTAATAGTAATATTATATGAGAATGACATTATGATAAATGTCTTATAAAAGACAGTGATAGAGAAAATAAATTTTGTTTAACGATATATTGTAAAAACGGTTGTTACAATCACATTACGTATCGCGGCAAAAATGCACTTAAATATTATAACAATAATATTCGTAATTCAATTGAACTCAAACGTGTAGAAGTTGTAATGCATTATAAAAAACATGATTATTTTAAATTATATATTTTAAGTCATCATGGTATTTTAATAATTTCTTCTCTTTGTGCCCTAATGATGAAAACAGCGAATATATATATATATATATATTTAGAGTGGTTCAATAAAAATGGGTCAAATGATTAAAGCTTTTGCATGGATGGCCCCAACCTCAATTTTTGCTTGTAAAAATTTGCTGTAATATAGATCATATGTCATAAGTATTTGACATTACTGCATTTGCGAAACCTAATAAATACTATTGGTTTCTACCTAATCCCAAACTAGTAATTTTAGGGTGCAACCCTACTGACAACACGTTATCATACATTTTTTTTTATTAATAATTGGCGCTGTTACCAGTTTTGATAAGCAACCTTATTTACAAATCACGAAAAGTTCAATTCAATGAGATAATTTCTATTATAATTGATTGCATCATGTCCGCTGAAGCAGCAATGAAATTCTTGAAAATACAGAAGATTGAATGCGAAGAGAAATTCCAAGATATGCGTTATCAAGAATTACGTATGTAGTAAATTTCAAACTTTACTGGAAAATATCAATGTTCAGGAGGTATTAAGACAATTATAAGTGCCACTGGTATGAAAGATGGAATTTATCGAATTTATGAAGTCTGTATGAGAGATCTGAAATTTACAATTGATGATAATATTTTAAGAGGTGATCTTGTTGCAACTGTTAGGGTATTGATCATACGTAAATACGTGTATTATTGACAATTCAACTAAATTTCATAAACTTAATAAACTATTATATAAAATAAATGAGCCTTCTTTGTCAGAAGTAAGTCAGGCTAAATCCAACTTGACAAATGATAAACGCTATCTAAGCACAACAAACTTAGCAACAACTTGTTTTCTAGATTTTATAGATATTTCAAATAAATCTCAGTATATAACAATAAAAAACTATTGAACCTGAGTAATCAAAAACGCAAGTTCAAATGCTAAATCTCTAATTCTATCAGATTGATTATTAACACTACTTCCAAAATGACCCTTATTAGTGTCAATTTTCAACATCAATAAATTACTTTTTTGATACGGCCAAAATTGTTCTGCTTGTCTTATTCTCATTCTAGATACCCACTTCAATGGATGCCAGTAATTTACTCTTTTGTCCTGCATCCCTGCTGTCACTAATATTGAAGTTTTAATATTGTATTGTTTAAAATTATCACCAAAAGTAATGTCATAAGAGATATTATCATAAGGCGCATAACTAGAAATATATTTATAGACATTCTCGTCTTCTAAAGGATTACCCCATTCATTGTATTCTATCTTTGTAAGTGGCAGATTCGGGTCTAACATACTTGTCAACGGATCGAGAAATGGAACTCGTAAAACTAATGCTCGAAAAAGATCTAATAAATAAAAAGAAATCTGAGCTATTGCTGTGTTGAAAAAAAAGGTGATATATATTGAATATGAATAATAGATTAAACCTGGTCGCATGTTAAAAGCCGTACCTATATCAATGAATGACAATATTGTTAATATTATTTGTTGTAAATAATGCAAGTTTCGATGAAATAAATATAGAAAAACTCGTTAACTTATTAATAAGCCACCAGCACTGATACCAATTGCAGAAATTTTCGATGCGTTAGAATATCCTGCACTAATTAAGTACTCTACAACCGAAATGAAGTCAGTAAATGAATTTTTTTTATTCATTAATCGGCCTTGGTCATACCATGAATAACCTAATTCCGACCCACCCCTATTTTGAAGAAAAATACATAAAGCTATTTCTAATATTATAAGTACTAAAAATTTTAAAAAATTTCATAATAATCACCGAACATGTGCAAGAGCAATAATCCAACCTCTCTCCAATAATGGTAAATGTTCAAGTTGGAATTCTGGATCTGTTGTAATACCATACGCCCCATAAGATCTTAATAGAACTGGATTGCTATTTCGAACGATATTAGTTTAATGATGTGACACATATTGAGATATTAAATTGTATAATAAATTTACTTGTGATTCATTATTAACGATTTCTTATGTAGCATAGTTATTGGTATTTCGGCGCCATCTGAAGCCTTGGCACGTGCTCGATAACATGTATATAGATTGCTGTCAAAATCTATACGAGAAACTTGTTAAATTATTGATTTATAAAGAATAAACAATGAATAAAATTTCGTACGTACCGTTAACCGATTTAGATCTTATAGAATATAGATTACGCGTTTTCATATTATATTCATAGGTTTTTTCGTGAGTCAAAGGCAAGTTACACGTAAATCTAACAATATTTGTGTTAGAGTCCTAGACGAGACACGTAAATATTAGAATATATTATAAATTTTTTACAGTATACTATTGATATCGCACGCAAATTTACAATATTTATTTCCGGAGAGACGGCACACAAATTCGTAGGTAGCGCTATTTGATGAACTTCAGAAGATCTTAATTCATAACACATGAGAACTGGTAAACCTTCGCTCTTTGCAAATATGACTGCGTAATCCTATTATAAAATGAAATAATTTAATCAAAGAAAAAG